GTCGGCGGAGGCCAGTCAGTTGTGAGACGGCATGTGCCAATAGTTTTTGGCTCCGCGGTTGGAAGCCTGGGGTTGGTCTGCAATTTTTTTTTCTCCTTTTGGGTCACACCTGGCGATGCACAGGGGTTCCTCCTGGCTCTGCACTCAGGAATCACTCCTGGCGGTGCTCGGGGAACCACATGGGATGCTGGGAATCGAACTCGGGTCGATCACGTGCAAGGCAAACGCCCTCCCCGCTGTGCTGTTGCTCCAGTCCCTGGCCTGCGATCGAGGAGGTTGTTCACACATGTGAGGGGTTGGGGGCAGAAATTGTCGGGACTTAAGGCCTTGCATGTGCCCGACCCTGGTCCAGTCCCCAGAATCAGTGGCCCCCCACCATCTACAGGTGCCACCCCGGGGACCCCTGAACAATGCTGAGCATACCCTCAGAGACCCCTGAACCCCCCCCCCCCCACATTGCAGCGGCTCACCAAGGGTCACCTGGAGCGGTCCCCAGCTCCGCTGAGCACCATTGGCGAGGTCACACAGGATGGTGGCCCGGCCTCGACACTTAGATATTCCAGAGAGTTCTGGGTGGTTCTGAGAGCAGCCACGTCCACGTGCCATGGCCCAGGGTGCTGATTCAGAGCCTGTCCTCAAGCCCTGGGCTCAAGGCAGCCCCCAACACAGGCATCCCGGGGGCCATCTGTGTAAGGTCAGTTTTGGTGACCCCAGACAGGGGCTCCCCCCTCACTTCCGATCCGAGCACCTTATGCTGCCCTGAAAGGGCCCCCTCAGGGGTGCCTGTACCATTTCCTAAGAGGATGTAGGGGGAGAAAATAGGACTGATGAGGTGTGAGGTCTGGTTACTCACCCAACAGTGCTCAACACTCCAAAACACTGGTGAATCTCCAGCCTGGAGTCCAAGGTTCCAAGTCTGTGATCTCAGCCATCCCAGCAAGGGCGCTGAGAGGCCCAGCGGGGTGCAGAGGAACACTTGGTGCGGGAATTGGGGGGCTCCCAGCAGCAGCAGGCCAGCCCCCCCCCACCCCACCTGCTCCACCTCCCTGCAGCCCTGCCCCGGCCCTGGCCGCCCCGCCTCCTCCTAGAAGCCCACGCCATCTGTCTGTGGAATTCCTCCTGCCACGCGCTCTTAAAAATAACAGCTCCCAGCCACAGCCAGTCACGACTCCGCGCCCCCAGGAAGGCCCCTGAAGCCCGAAGCGGCAGATCTGGGTGAGCTGAGAAGCTCCGGTGCTCCTGGTTCACGGGGGCTCCAGCAGGGGGGGCAGGGTTAATTAAGGACTCGACCCCCCTCTGGGTCCTGAACCCCGCAGTTGGGGCCCCCTTCTCCCTCCAGTTTCCTTTCTCGAAGGCCAAGCTGCCAATGTGTCGTGGACACTGAGATGAAGGGGCAGCCTACCGCCCCCCCAAAACTCCAGGGAGCCCCAAAATAGCTCCTGCTAACAAGCTCCTGGTCAGAAGAGAGTGGTCAGCCCCCCCCCCAGGGGAGGCCCGAGGGTCTCCAGTGATTGGACCACCAGGCTCTGGGTCCGGGCTAAGAGAGATGAGGGGGCAGGGCCGGAGGATGGGGCAGCGGGGAGGGCGCTGGCCTGGTGCGCAGCTGACCCGGGTTTGATTCCCGGCACCTCATATGCACCCCCAGGGCACCGCCAGGAGTGATGCTTGAGCACTGACAGGTGTGGTCCAAAATAGAGAGAGGGAGAGAGAGAGAGAGAGGGAGAGGGAGAGAGGGAGGGAGAGAGGGTGGGAGAGGGAGAGGGAGGGAGAGAGGGAGAGGGAGAGAGAGGTGGGAGTTGCAGGGGCCAGGTCAGCACGTGAGCACTGTTTGGAAGGGTCTACTAGGAAGAGACACCCCCGTCAGTCTGGACCCCTTTCCTGCCACTTCAGGTGTTTGTTCAGTTAACAAATGCTTCCAGCCCCTGGCTGTGTTGAGGCCCACACTGGGGGTTTTAGCCGATGTTTGTTTGTTTTTCAGGCACCACGATCTCAACACGCTAATACCAATGCTTCAGGCAGACTGCGCGCTGGGTCCCACCAGAGTGTCAGCCCCCCTCCCCCCGTGCCCCCAGCACAGCACACTCAGTTCTGGGTCTGTTAACCCGGCCACACCACCGAGAGATCCTTCCAAGCATGTCCCTCCTGCTACTCAGCACTCCGGTTCCCTCGGGATTCCATCCTTTCTCCTAGCTGAATAGTATTCCACTGCGAGTGTCTGCGACAGACTCTATCCACGTGTCTGATCTCGGCCCCTGGGTGGTTTCCAGATCTTGACTGCTGTGAACAGAGCCGCAGTGCACACAGGGGCGCAAATGTCTTTTCAAAATATTGTTCGTGGCCTCTTTGGGGTAGATGCCAAGAAATTAGAAGGCACTCTCCTCCTTTTCTGCAGGGTTGTTTATTTTGTTGTTGTGACTGGTTTTATGAACGCCTTATAAATCTTGGATTTGTCCGATGTGTGCTGTAGGGAGATCCTTCTTCTGTGCTTTGTGGATATTAATCCAGTCTTTCCTTGTAGCCAGTCTGCCTGTCACTAGGAGCTCCATTTTGCAGGTGAGAAAACCGAGGCGTAACAGAACAAGCAGTTTGCCACGTGTCTCACAGCCAGAGCTGAGATCGGAATTATTTAGCTCCAGGGGCTGGAGCAATAGCACAGCGGGGAGGGCATTTGCCTTGCATGCGGCCAACCTGGGTTCGATTCCCAGCATCCCATTGGGTCCCCTGAGCACCGCCAGGGGTAATTCCTGAGTGCAGAGCCAGGAGCAACCCCTGTGCATGGCCAGGTGTGACCCAAAAATCAAAAAAACAAAACAAAACAAAATTATTTATCTCCAGAGGTTTTTTGTTTTGTTCTGTTTTGTTCCTAATCACGATGCCATGTTTACTTTCCAGGTGGGGAAATTGATATCACCGAGGAAAAGATCTTATTCAAGATCAAATATTGCACCAAGGACAGATCCAAGCCCGGAATTTCAGCTTCTTTTGCTCTTGGTCCTTCTGGGCTCCACGCATTCATGCATTCGACTAATGTATTTGCATCTTCTCTCTCTAGTACATCCCAGTGCATTCGACTCTATCACACAAGTTAGAGGTGCAGGGAGAAAAAAGGTGGCATTCAGATAACCACAACTGCAGGAAGGGGACTTTGCCAAATGGCCGAGAACCCGAACCAAAACCCACATCCGAGGGGCTTCTCCTGCTGTCCTACGAATGGGTCTGGCAAACTCAGAGATTTTTGTGTCCACCTCCCAGTTTTACATTTAAATGCTTTAAATGTTCTCTTGCTTCAGCTTCTCCTCCGGACTTGAGGACGAGCAGAGGTCGCAGACCCCAGGATTTCTGCGCGCGTGTCTGAAATTGTGGGTGCCATGCTCCCTGCAACCTGCGTCGTGGCATTAAGATGAAGAGGGCCGTGGCAAGTTGCTGGAGGTGGGGGTGGGGGATGGTGATGGAACAGCGCTATGGGGTCGTAACGGCGCAGGTGGGGGCTGTGGCCGACGTGGATTTGCTGCTGCTGATGGTGATGTTGGTGGTGCTGGTGGTGCCAATGGTAAGGTTGGTGATAGTGACAAGTCTTAGCATGTGTCATGATGGTGGCAAAGGCAAATGCAGTACTACTGTGTAACCTTGTGACAGCGGTGGGAATTTGGTGGTGGTGGGAATTTGTTGGTGTTGGTCGTGGTGGGAATTTGGTGGTGGTGGTGGTGGGAATTTGGTGGTGGTGGGAATTTGGTGGTGATGGTGGGAATTTGGTGGTGGTGGTGGGAATTTGGTGGTGGTGGTGGTGGGAATTTGGTGGTGGTGGTGGTGGTGGGAATTTGGTGGTGGTAGTGGTAGGAATTTGGTGGTGGTGGGAATTTAGTGGTGGTGATAATTTGGTGGTGGTGGTGGGAATTTTGTGGTAATGGGAATTTGGTGGTGGTGGTAATTTGGTGGTGATGGTGAGAATTTGACGCTGGTGGGAATTTGGTGGTGGTGGTGTTGGTGGTGGGAATTTGGTGGTGGTGGTAATATTTGGTGGTGGTGGTGGTGGTAATTTGGCAGTGGTGGGAATTTGGTGTTGGTGGGAATTTGGTGGTGGTGGTGGTGGTGGTGGGAATTTGGCAGTGGTGGGAATTTGGTGGTGGTGGTGGTGGTGGTGGTGATAGTGGGAATTTGGCAGTGGTGGGAATTTGGTGTTGGTGGGAATTTGGTGGTGATGGTGGGAATTTAGTGGTGGTAGGAATTTGGTGGTGATGGTGAGAATTTGGCGCTGGTGGGAATTTGGTGGTGGTGGTGGTGGTAAGAATTTGGCAGTGGTGGGAATTTGGTGGTGGTGGGAATTTGGTGGTGGTGGTGGTGGGAATTTAGTGGTGGTGGGAATATGGTGGTGGTGGTGGTGGTGGAAATGTGGTGGGAATTTGCTGGTGGTGGGAATTTAGTGGTGGTGGGAATTTAGTGGTGGTGGGAATTTAATGGTGGTGGGAATTGGTGGTGGTGAGAATTTGGTGGTGGTGGTGATGATGGTGGGAATTTGGCGATAATCTCATGGTCTGCTTGTGGTGGGAATAGAGTAGAGGGGTGGTGAGGGCTTTGAGGAAGATCTCGGTGACACCGATGATAACAGTGACACCGATGGTGGTAGTCACAGAGTTGTGCCAGCAAAAGCCACGGTTGAATGGTGATGGTGGAGGTGGTTGTGGCCAAGAGGGTTACGATGGTGATGACAATGCAATGGTGTAGACAGTGGTATTTGTGATGTTGCTGCTGGGGCCATGATGATGGGAATGGTGGCCCCGGTGACTGTGCCAGTCCTGGTGATGAGCTCATGCTGCCCGCGGCCATCGCCATGGCCGTGTGGATGGTTATGGTGACACGCTCCAATTCTATTGTCCAGTCTTGGTCCTGGTACCAGCTCCCAGGTGACCCCAGGGAGCGGGGGATAACCTGCCAAGATCTGGCCTTCGAGATCTGGCAATAGTGGCCTTGACGGTGATGGCCAGTCCTGTGCTCTCTTCCAGACAACCACGCCCAGCTGTCCCGCGCCTCCCTCCGGATCCGCATCCTGGACGTGAACGACAATCCCCCGGAGCTAGCCACACCCTACGAGGCGGCTGTGTGTGAAGACGCCAAGCCAGGCCAGGTAGGGAGGGGCCGGCGCCGAGGGGCCGGGACAGGGGGCCCAGCCTGCCCCTCGCCCTCTGACCTCTCCCCCATCCAGCTCATCCAGACCATCAGCGTGGTGGACAGGGACGAGCCCCAGGGCGGCCACCGCTTCTACTTCCGCCTCGTGCCAGAGGCTCCCAGCAGCCCTCATTTCTCTCTCCTCGACATCCAAGGTGAGTCACCTCTGAACCAGCAGGTTCCAGAATCCCCGAGCAGGAGGGAAGGGCCTGGGGTCCCCTTGCCACATGGCCGACGGAGCAAGAGGGACACCAGCAGGTTTCGTCTTGGGTCCAAGACCACGCGGCAAGCTCAGCTCAGGTCAGCCCGGCTGGCCAAACCAGGGGCAGAGGGCAGCCCCCGAGTGGAGTTTGGGGGAGCGCAGGGGGGCATCTGATTGGAGTGGACAGAGATGATGAAGAAGGGTCGGCAGGAAGAAGTGGGTTAAGCAGACTCTGGGGTGGAAGACGCCTCTGATATAAGTAAAGGTCAAATCACCCGCAGGATGCGATTCCCAGCCCGCAGGTGGGAACGGCTTAATCCCACTCACGCTTCCCTCGCCAGTAGCAGCCTTCCAGCCCTGCCGTTTGCAGGTGGAGACAAGAAAGGCCCAGCCAGGCTCCGAAAGGGAGGCAGAGAGCGGCTAGGCCTCGAACCCGACCCGCCCCCCAGCTCAGACCCTGAGCTTCCTGTTTAACCCCATACCTTCAAAGCAAATAACCTCCACCCCCGGGGCCCCCACTGCCCCACACAGGGGCCCCAAGAACTTTTTTTTTTTTTTTTTTGCTTTTTGAGTCACACCCGGCTATGCTCAGGGGTTACTCTTGGCTCGTGCACTCAGGAATTACTCCTGGCGGTGCTCAGGGAACCCTATGAGATGCTGGGAATCGAACCCGGGTCAGCCGCATGCAAGGCAAACGCCCTCCCTGCTGTGCTATCGCTCCAGCCCTCCCCAAGAACTTGAGTCCGCCCCTTACCTTTGAGGAATACAGGGGCAGGGGTCCAGGTTATGCTCAGGTTCATGTCCTCAGACAGTCAAGGTTGAAAGCAGAGGACCAGGGACGAGATGACTACATTCAGCAGGGACCTCATCTGAGAGAAGGAAGGGCTGGCAGGAAGCAGGGGCCGGAGTCTCCTTAAGTAGGATGCCCGGAAAAGGTGGCAAACCTTTTCTAGCTTAACTAGGGAGAAAAGTGAGCACCTTGCACTGGATTTAAGACAAAGGGGTTGGGAAAGAGGGAGCAGGACTGGGCTGGAGCGATAGCACAGTGGGGAGGGCTCTTGCCTGCTTGCAGATGATCTGGGTTTGATCCCCAGCATCCCATATGGTCCCCTGGGCACTGCCAGGAGCGATCCCTGAGCACAGAGCCAGGAGTAACCCCTGAACATTGATGGGTGAGGTTCAAAATCAATGAGGGGGAAAGAGAGAGACAGAAAGAGACAGAGAGAGGAGAGAGAAAGAGAGAGAGAGAGAGAGAGAGAGAGAGAGAGGGAGGGAGAGGGACAGGCATTTGAGATGACCATCTTCTCTACACCCGGGACATACTCTAGGCCTGTTCTCTTCCTACCCATTTCGTCCATGCCTGCTTTAATGCAAAAGCAGCAGATGTAAGGAGCTGGACCCAGTCTCCCATCGTAGCGCTCTAGACCTCAGTCTCATCACCTGTGAAATGGGTCTGTCACGGCTCCCTCAGGAATCCAGGAACTTGCTTTGCATGCCGCCAGGGTCAGTCCCCAGCACCACATCTGCCTGCCCCCATCACAGCCCCCCAGCCTAGCCAGGAGAGAGCCCAAGCACAGAGCCAGGAGTAAGTGGACAGGGCCTTTACGGGCACCAAGGGAAGTGAGCCGGGAGGGTCGCTAGGGAACGGATGGTGTGCAGGAAGCAGCTGCAAGTACAAAGGCCCTGACCCCTCAGAACAGGAGAGCGGGGGGTTGGGGCGATGACTTCTGGCCTGTGCTCGGTCCTGAGATTTGTCCCCAGCACCGCGTGGCCTCCCCAAGCACCCCCAGGCTGGCCCTGAAGCACCGAGCCCCCGGCCCCAGTACTGAATGCCCAGGCTGGGTATGGCCGGGACCACACTGCAGGAGTGACCCCTACAGCGAGGGGCCGGAGTGATGGCACAGTGACCAGGACACTCCCTTGCATGTGGCAGACCCATTGTCCATCCCAGCACCACACAGGGTCTCCCAGGCCCCGCCAGGAGTGGTCCTTGAGCACAGAACCCAGAGAGTCAGCCCCGAGCACCACCAGGTATGTCTCTGCCACCCTCATAACCCCCCCACAAAAAAGAAAGAAATGAAAGAACAGAAGCCACGTGTTGGCTGACCGTCCTCAGAGCCCCGGGGGCCATGTCATGCAGGGGTCCAGCCCGGGGGCAGCCTGAGATCCCCACCAAACCCTTTACCTCTCCACCCTCCAAACAGAGCGCCTGGTGACCCCCGAGGCCAGCCCCCAGGTGTATTTCTGTGCCTGGTGAAACATAATTAACAACCAAGACTGTTTTGAGCATCAGGAAGCACAAGGGACCAGGACCTGGCGCGGCCCTGGGCCGGACCCTGTTGGGCCTTTGCCCTCCACGGCCTGGAGTGCTTGGTGGGACTTGGAGGGGAGGGGAGTGGAGGGCAGGTCAAGGCAACAGGGACGGACCTGGGGGACTCCGACCTCACCCTTCAAACCTCATCACGCGCCTTCGGTATTTTAATAAGAGGGCCGGGCCTGCTCGGAATTCATGTGCTGGTCGCGCCCCTCCAGGGAGACTCCGAGGGCCCAGCCTGACCTCCCCGAAACCCGCAGTCTCCCAGCCCTGGAGCTCCCGGGGCAGGGGGTGGCAGGGGAGGGGGCGTGCAGCCAGCCCGGGTCAGCACAGCCCCGCAAGGTCTCCGCCCCCCTCGCCGCCCCCCTCCCCGCCTCGTCATATAAATACCCTGGCGACAGCGGCTACCCCAGCCCATCTGTTTCTTTGTACAAATTTGTAGCCAGTTTGGAAATGTGATTTATAAATATTGCTTCTGCAGCCAGGGACTGACGCTGATGGATGTCAGGCCAGATGGATGGATGCAGAGCTGGGCTCCGCTCCCACCTCCGGGGTGGGCTGGGGGCTGGCGCGGCGCGGCCGGCAGAGCCAGCAGGGCTGCGGGGACGCTGCCCAGGGATTCCCTTTCCGGGGAGTGGCAGGGCGCAGCTCTGTCCGAACATATGGCTCCGTGGCCGGAGACGGCCACCCCCGAGAGGCAGACCTCGCCTCTCCTCCCCTCTCCGGCGGGTGCCGGGGAATTGAGGCTCAGCCCAGCCAGCCACTCATTTTTCAAATCTGTCTGCTCCTCGCCGCTCCCTCCCACTGTTATCTCACACCCAAAACACACCAGAGCTTCCCGCGGCGTCTCCACGCCCACTCTCCGCATTCCACATGCCCGCGTGAGCCCAGGCGAGCTCCATTCGTCCGTCCGGTCGTCCGTCCATCCTGCTTCTGCCCTGACTCTCTGGGGCTGGTATAGTCCTGGAGCTGCAGGGGCTCACTTAGTATTGGCCAATGGATGGATGGGTGGATGGATGGATGATAGGTTTCTTCTTTGCTAAAAGGAAGAAGAGGAAGGAGAAGTGAAGAAGAAGCATTAGGTTAGAGTCATAGTACAGCTCTAAGGCGCTTGCCTTCCAGCTGCCGACCCAGGTTCAACCCCGGGCATCCCACAGGGTCCCCCAGACCCCGCCAGAAGTGATCTCTGAGTGCAGAGCTAGGAGTAAGCCTTGAGCACTGCCAATGTGGGCCTCGCCACTGTCCCCCGGAAAAAAATGAAGGTTATGGGGGTAAAATGGGGTTAGAGAGATAATATAGCAGGTAAGGCATTTGCTGACCGGGGTTTGATCTCGGCATCGCCTATGGTTCCTCGTGCACTGCCAGGAGTAATTCCTGAGCACAGAGACAGGAGTAAGTCCTGAGCATTGCTGGGTGTGGCCAAAAACCTAAAAGGAAGGAAGGAAGGAAGGAAGGAAGGAAGGGAGGGAGGGAGGGAGGGAGGGAAGAAGGGAGGGAGGTAGAAAGGGAGGAAGGGAAGGAGGGAGGAAGGAAGGGAGGAAGGAAGGGAGGGAGGGAAGGGAGGGAGAAAGGGAGGGAGGGAAGGAGGGAGGAAGGAAAGGAATGAGGAAGGAGTAAGGGAGGGAGAAGGGAGGGAGGGAGGGAGGGAGGAAGGAAGGAAGGAAGGAAGGAAGGAAGGAAGGAAGGAAGGAAGGAAGGGAGGGAGGGAGGGAGGGAGGGAGGTAGAAAGGGAGGAAGGGAAGGAGGGAGGAAGAAAGGGAGGAAGGAAGGAAGGGAGGAAGGAAGGAAGGGAGGGAGGAAGGAAGGAAGGGAGGGAGGGAGGGAAGGGAGGGAGAAAGGGAGGGAGAAAGGGAGGGATGAAGAAAAGCAATGAGGGAAGGAGGGAGGGAGGGAGAGAGAAGGAAGGGAGGAAGGAAGGAGAGGAAGGGCAGGAGGTGGGGAGGAGAGAGGAGAGAAGAGGAGGGCAGAGGAGGGGAGAGGAGAGGAGAGCTTAGTTCCCAATGCTTGCTGTGGCCGTAAGACTTCATCCATGGTGGACCCCTGCCCTGTCCAGCCTCATTCTTAACTCACTGTAACCTTGCACCTCATCCCTCTCATCCTAGAGGACTTTCGGTCTGTGCCAGCTCCAGCCTCAGGGCCTTTGCACAAACCCTTTGCTCTCCTTGAGCTCATCGTTCAGGGCTGTCATTATGTCGCTTCTCCCAAGAAGGTGGCCCGGACGCCCCCGCCTGGGCCCTGCCCTCCGCCAGGCCCTCTTCCTGGCTCTTCCTTCACAGCACTCCCCACGGTTCCTAACTGTAGACTGGAGTCTGGGCTTCTCTGATCAACGTTTGTCTCTCTCCTGTGGTTGATTGAATATTTGCTGTTTTCCCCCAGTGACTGGCATGACGCCTGGTCCTAGTAGTTGCTCAGTAAAGACTGATGAGTTAGGTAGGGGGAGAAGAAGATGGGTTGGTGCGCGGATGGATGGTCGTCCATGCATAGACGACAGATGGACGGCTGGCGGAGGATGGCTGGATGGATAAACAAGGGTGGGTGGCAGGCAGATGGACACGTGGATAACTTGATGCGTGTGTAGAAAAGGGAGTTAGGCCACCAACTCTCCAGATCCATGTATCAAGCCACTCTGGGCCTCGACCTCCACCCACGTAAAATGGCACCAATATCATGACTCTCCGTGCTGTGAGGTTCAAGGATTGTTTGTTTAATGGTGTTACTGGGGGGGGGGGGGGCAGCACCGCCCTGGATGCAGGAGAAGGAGACTCCACAGACATGCTGGCACTCTTTCCCTAGAGCCTCCTTCCTTCCCAGGGGGAGGCAAGAATTTCTTTTTTTAAAAAATTAGGGGGGGGGCGTTGGAGCTATAGCACAGCGGGGAGGGCGTTTGCCTTTCACACAGCTGACTCGGGTTCGATTCCCAGCATCCCATATGGTCCCCCAAGCACCGCCAGGAGTAATTCCTGAGTGCAGAGCCAGGAGTAACCCCTGAGCATTGCCGGGTGTGACCCAAAAAGCAAAAAGAAAAAAAAAAGAAAAGAAAATTGGGTGGGGGGTGGTGCGGTCCAGTGGGTAGGGCATTTGCCTTGCATGTGGCCGACCCGGGTTCAATCCCTGGCATCCCATATGGTCCCCCGAGCACCACCAGGAGTAATTCCTGGGTTCAGAGCCAGGAGGAACCCCTGAGCATCGCTGAGTGTGACCCAAAAAATAAAAGCAAAAATAAAATTGGGTGGAGGGCATTGGGGCCACAACCCAGCAATGTTCAGGACTGGTTCCTGACTCTGCACTTGGGAATCACTCCTAGTGGTGCTTGGGGGACCATATGGGATGTCGGGGATCGAACCCGGGTTGGCCGCGTGCAAGACACATGCTTTACCTGCCGCATTATCTCTCGGCCCACAGTGGCATTTCCGCTGCAGGAACCATCCTGCCCCTTGACAGGACATCGGGAGCTCAAGCCTGAGTTTGAGGGGTTCGCCCAGGACCACCTGCTACCCTCCCAAAAAAATAGTGCTGAGCTGCAGCCTTGTTCTCCAGGACGGGCTCAGTGTGGGTGCGGGCTGACTTAAGGCGTCAGGACAAGCTCCTTGAGGCGGCCCGGAGCCTGCGTGAGGAGTGGGAGCGGAGGGAGCCATAAATCCTTCCCGGGAAGCTGAGGAAGGAGGTGACATTTAGCTGGAGCATGACAGATGAGGGATTGGCCCCGCAGGGAAGTGGGGGTGCCACTGCCACAGTGAGTCTGGGCCTGGGCCGGAAGGCCAAAGGGGGCAGGGGCGTGCCCCATCTGGGGGTATGCAGAAAGCCCTGCCCCATGCCCCATGAGGGGTTGGAGTGCCGGGACCATTCTCGGGGCCGAGGAAGCCACTGTTTAACCCCCACAGGCCCAGAGCCTGTTGGTCTGTCACAAGTGAGCCCCCCAAGCTGGTCAGAAATCCAATCAGAACTGTTTCTGGTTCGTTCTGGAGTTGGGGGGACCCACCCCGGGGTTCTTGGGAGCAATTCCAGGCTCTGTGCTCAAGAATGACCCCTCTGGTCATATGTGCAGGACCGTGTGTGTTGGTCATATGTGGAGGACCGTGTGTGTTGGTCAGAATCGAACCCAGGTCACGGCCCGAGTGGCTGATGCGAGGCCCTTTCCCTCTCCTGCCCTTTCTCTCTCCAACCCCCCCAACTCGGTGTGATTTCAAGCGGATTTTTTTTAAAGCACAGTGATAAAAACATTTACAAAGTTGTTCACGGCTGGGTTTCAGTGATACAATGTTTCAACACCCATCCCTTCACCAGTATACATTTCCCACCACCAATGGTCCCCGTTTCCCTCCCTCCCTCCCTCCCCTGTCCCCCGCTTCTCTCTCTCCCCCCCTTCTTTCTCTCTCCTTCCTTTTGGGCCTTATGGTTTGCAAACTAGATACTAAAACGTTATCCGGTGTATCCATTGCCTACTTCCAAGGCTCAACTCCTGCTCAGAATGACCGTTTCCAACTATGACCGACATGCTGTTCCCTTGAGTGGGTGTTTCAGGCAGGGGACACCCAGACGCTGGGAGCCCTGCCCGTGATTTTCAGGCAGTAGAGTCATGGGTACAGACAGCACAAGGCCCCCAGGACATGAGGCTTCTCAGGCCCTGTGGTGTCAGGAATTGAACCCAGGTCAGGCAGATTCTGTCGTTGCTTCCAGCCCCTAGTGGTAACACTTTTATGGAAAGTGAGGGACAGCGACAGCATGATGACTTGTGTGAGTTCCCGCCCGCTCCGAGCACACAGGTCAAAGGGACAGAGTGTGAGTGAGACCCTGGCATGAGGGGGGGCTCTCATCGGCCCCCAGGGCCGTGCCCCCCATCTCCCCCTGGAGCTCTTAGCCAGCGACCCCTGGCAAGAAGCTTCTTTTTGCACAGCGGGCGCCAGCCAGAGTCACCCAGCTCCTGTCAGACGCAGCGTGGGCGCGGGGACCCCAGGGTCGGGGGCCTGGGCGGGGGGGTGGGGGGGTGGGGCTGGAATGCAAAGCAGGCCGTTGGAACAAATGCCAGAGAAAGGAAAAGGGACAGTAAGGCAAAGGAGCAAATGACAGCCGGGGACAGGACCTTGGCGCCACTGGGGACACAATCTTGGAACAGCTGAAGGGAAACGTTGAGGAGCTGCGGGGAGCGACGCCAGGGACAGCTGAGGACAAAACGGGCTCTGGGGGGCTGGAGCAATGGCACAGCGGGGAGGGCGTTGGCCTTGCACGCGGCCGACCCGGGTTCGATTCCCAGCATCCCATAGGGTCCCCTGAGCACTGCCAGGAGTAACTCCTGAGTGCAGAGCCAGGAGCAACCCCTGAGAACTGCCAGGCGTGGCCCAAAATAAGCAACAAAATAATTATGTTCTAGTTTAAAAAATAAATGAATAGGAGCTGGAGTGATAGCACAGCGGGGAGGGCATTTGCCTTGCACGCGGCCGACCCGGGTTCGATTCCCAGCATCTCATAGGGTCCCCGAGCACCGCCAGGAGTGATTCCTGAGTGCAGAGCCAGGAGCAACCCCTGAGCATCGCCGGGTGGGACCCAAAAAGCAAAAATAAATAAATAAAAATAACGGACTCTGGGACCGCACACAGCCTGTCGGGGGCAGAAGCAGGGGAGAGGGCAGGGGTGGGGGTCACCATCCCTGGGGAGATTCGGGACTGGACTCCTGGACCAGCTGGGAGGCGCCGCGGGGCCAAGGAGAGCGAGGGCCCGGGGGCGGGGGGTGGGGAGATTGGGAGGGGCCGGGTGGTCCCAGCCTGTCCCATGCCGCCCCCTCTTCCCGCCCAGACAACACGGCGGCCGTGCGCACGCAGCACCCGGGCTTCAACCGACAGGAGCAGGACGTGTTTCTGCTGCCCATCCTGGTGATGGACCGCGGGCCGCCCTCGCTGAGCAGCACAGGCACCCTCACCATCCGCGTCTGCGGCTGCGACAGTGCCGGTGCCATCCTGTCCTGCAACACCACCGCCTTCGTCATGGCCGCCTCGCTGAGCCCTGGGGCGCTCATCGCCCTGCTGGTGTGTGTCCTCATCCTGGTCGGTGAGTCCCCCGCGGGGCCCCAGGGGTCCTTCCCCAGACGCCCCCACCAGGACACTGGGGCATCTCTCCTCACCCAGGCCAGGGCACCCCGCCCCCGCCCACCAACTCCGAGTGGGGGGTCCTACCTCTGACTGACTTCCTGGGTGCCCACCCCCACCTAGCCCCTGACTTCCTGCTCGTGTAAGCCCCAGCATTTGCTCCTTCTGGTGCCTGTGGTCCAATTTTATTCTCATAGTGACTCTTGGGAGCCGGCTCTTGGGAGCCGCCCCCCAAACACACACACACACACACACACACACACACACACACACCCTCAGCCTGGGGTGTCAGACCCTTGTTTGAAGGCGTCAAGGCTCTGTGAGGTTGGGGGGCTTGAATGCGGGGTGCCCCGAGCTCCTGATCTTCACCCCCCCACACACACACACACTTGCTAGGAATCCACGCTGGGACAGGGCCTCAGAGAAAGCTGGGGCAGACGCTGAAAACCCTGGGGACGGAAGGACTGGAGTGATAGCACAGCGGGGAGAGCGTTTGCCTTGCATGCAGCCGACCCAGGTTCGATTTCCAGCATCCCATAGGGTCCCCCAAGCAGCGCCAGGAGTGATTCCTGAGTGCAGAGCCAGGAGTAACCCCTTTGCATTGCCGGGTGAGAACCAAAAAGAAAAAAGAGAAAGAAAGGAAGGAAGGAAGGAAGGAAGGAAGGAAGGAAGGAAGGAAGGAAGAAAACCCTGGGGGGGCAATATCCACTCTGCTCCCCACTCTATCAGCTGCCTGCTGAACCCCCAAGGACCCCCAGGAAAAAAATGGTCCATTTCTGTCCATTTCCTGGGAACCAGACGACACTCAAGGGGCCAAAAACCGCTTCTTCGGCCCAGTCCAGGCCGCAGAACTTGGAGGCACAGGAGTGAGCTGGCTCCCCACGGAGCCCCTCAGGACAGGGCAGCCCCCTCTTGTGGAGAGGACGCAGGGGCTGGGGCTCCCCCGAGCAAGGAGGCCAGCCCCCCCCCACTCCAGCCCGTGGCTCGGAGCCCTTTTTCCAGAGGGTGCACTTTACAGCGGTTTCATTTTCCGAGGCAGTGCAAACAAATTTCTGCCTAATTGCCCACAAATGAAGAAAGTGCACATCAGTGCTCCAAAGGTGACGGGCGGAATCGCTGATCAGGCCCGCCACATCTGTCCCCGCCATCTGCTCTCACGGGCACCCCCCTCGGCGGCTCCCGGCCTCCGAGCTCCTTCCCAAAGCATCCATCCATCTTCCCGCCTCTCCCGACACCCCCCACCCCCCAACCCCGGGCCCGCCTCTACCTCCACCCGCCTCTCTGTCAGCAACACCTTGTTAGGTCACTGGCAGCAGCCTGGCTGATGGCCCTCGCAGCCGGCTCTGGTCACTGACCCGGGGAAGCTGTCTGCAGCGACCAGGCGGGCCCAGGCCTGGCACGGTGCCCAGGCACTCATCTGTCCATCCCTCCACGCCCCCTGCCAGTGAGGTCTCCTCCCATTTGATCAGCGGTTTCATCTCACCCATCCAGAAGTGGATGCTGGGGTATCGTGAGTGGACGCTGAGTCTGGAGCCCTGGGAGGGTGGGTCCATCACTGGGCATCGGGGGACCAGTTAAGGGTGGGGACAGGTTAAGGCCTGGAGAGTCCCCGGGGCCAGCCTAAAGGGTCTAGTAGGGAGGAATCCGGCCGGATTCCAGAGCGCAGGCCAGGTTGGGGGTGCAGACGCAGGAGTTTCCATCTTCCGGAAGGATGCAGAGACCAGTACTAGACACCTCTCCCCCCCATCCCCCTGCATCCTAGGGCCTTAACACACTGGAGTTCAGGGAGATAATACCATGGTTGGGCGCGTGCCTGGCATGCCCCTGACCCCGGGGGGGGGGGGGGAGGGCCTGAGCATCAGCGGGTACAGCCTTGGGGGCCTCAAATATGGCCCTGGAGACCCCAGCACTGCCACCGCGGCCCCTGTTCCCGATAGTGGGGGGGAGGGGCCTCAACAGCATTGTACCGCAGGCTCTTGTGCGGAAGGAGCAGACCCCCTGACTGAGTATTGTCAGCGGGGTCCCCAGGCTCCTGAGCACCCCAGGAGGTCATGTCCTCAAACAGGAAGTTGGTGATGGGAGGCACAGTCCACTCAGAAGGCTTAGGGAGTCATCAGTGAGGTGGGTGGAAGGAAGGTCAGGTGAGAAAGGCCACGCAGGCCACTCATTCATTCATTCGCTCACCATTATTCGTTCACCATTCATTCATTCTCAGCATTCACTCATTCATTCGTTCATTCACTCTAAAGGTAAAGGTAAAGGCCCTTCCGTTGATCGTTGATTTGCTCGAGCGGGCCCAGTAACGTCTCCATTGGAGACTTTGTTGTTACTGTGTCTGGCATATCGAATACTCTCGGTAGCTTGCTGGGCTCTCCCAGAGGGACAGAGGAATCGAACTTGGGTCGGCCATGTTGGCTGCGTGAAAGGCAAATGCCCTACCGCTGTGCTATTGCTCCAGCCCCCCTATTACCATTAATTCACACACTCTTCATTCTGACCATTCATCCACCGTTCATCCACTATCCACCATTTGTTCACTCACCATTCGGTCTTTCACCATTCATTCATTCATTCACTCACCATTCACTCAATTACCATTCATTCACACACTGTTCTTTCTGACCATCACGCACCACTCATTCATTCTCTCACCATTCATTCAATCATTCCTTGCTATTCATTCACTCACTCACCATTCATTCATTCCTGCCATTCCTACATTCTCAGTCGCCGCAGGTCCCCACTCTTCATTCACTTATTCACCCGACCTGCCTTAGGGGCTGCCACAAGCCCGCCGGGCAGGAAGCACTTCCCAGATCCTCCACTTAGCTTAGTGGATGCCTTGAGGTGTGGGGGGCAAACGTTAACTAAGCAGAGCCTCTGTAGTGGCGGACAGCAGCCCCCAAGCTGCCTGGCACCCCCAGAGCCTTCTGGAAACAGCCGTGCTTGACACCCAGCACTAGAGGGGGTGCCCGTGCCCTGATGCCCACCACTGGGGATACTCATGCCTGATGCCCGCTGAGGGTGCCCTGCCCTGACGCCCACTAGAGGTGCCCAACCCTGATGCCCACTGGGGGTGCCCATGCCCAACGCCCAGCATGGGGTGCTGGCCTGACGCCCACTGGGGTGCCCTGCCTTGGCACCAGCACTGGGAGTGCCCTGTCCTGATGCCCACTGTGGGTACCCTACCTGATGCCTACTGGGGGTGCCCTGCCCTGATGCCCAGCACTGGGGGTGCCCTGATGCCCACTGGGGGTGCCCTGCCCTGATGCCCAGCACTGGGGGTGCCCTGATGCCCACTAGGGGTGCCCTGCCCTGATGCCCAGCACTGGGGGTGCCCTGATGCCCACTAGGGGTGCCCTGCCCTGATACCCAGCACTTGGGGTGCCCTGATGCCCACTAGGGGTGCCCTGCCCTGATGCCCACTGGGGGTGCCCTGCCTTGGAACCCAGCACTGGGAGTTCCCTGCCCTGATGCCCACTAGGGGTGCCCTACCTGATGCCTACTGGGGGTGCCCTACCTGATGCCTACTGGGGGTGCCCTACCTGATGCCTACTGGGAGTGCCCTGTCCTGATGCCCACTAGGGGTGCCCTACCCTTATGCCCATCACTGGGGGTGCCCTGATGCCCACTGGGGGTGCCCTGCCCTGATGCCCAGCACTGGGGGTGCCCTGAGGCCCACCACTGGGAGGTGCCCTGCCCTGATGCCCAGCACTGGGGGTGCCCGTGCCCGACGCCCACCCTGGGGTGCCGGCCTGACGCCCCTCCCCTCCCCCGCAGTGCTGGTGCTGCTGATCCTCACCCTGCGGCGCCACCACAAGAGCCACCTGAGCCCGGACGAGGACGAGGACATGCGCGACAACGTCATCAAGTACAACGACGAGGGCGGCGGCGAGCAGGACACGGAGGCCTACGACATGTCGGCGCTGCGCAGCCTGTACGACCCGGGCGAGCTCAAGGGCGGCGGCGGCGGCGGCGCGGGCGGGCCGGGCGGGCCGGGCGGACCCGGCGGCGGCGCGGGGGGCGCACCCGGGGGCGCCCCCGGCGGCCACTCGCTGCCGCGGGCGCCGCACAGCCCCGGGCCCGACTTCGCGGCCTTCCGGGACTTCCTCGGCCGCCAGGTGGCGCTGGCGGACGCCGACCCCGCCGTGCCGCCCTACGACGCCTTCCAGACCTACGCCTTCGAGGGCGCGGGCTCGCCCGCCGCCTCGCTCAGCCCCCTGCACAGCGCCTCCTCCTCCTCCGAGCTGGACTTCGCGGGCCTGGGCGCCTGGGGCCCGCGCTTCCGCCCGCTGGCCGCGCTCTACGCCGCGCCGCCGCCGCCGCCGGGCAACGCCTCCTCCGGGCAGGCCTCCTAGCTGGCACGCCCGCCCGCCCGCCCGCCCGCCCGCCCGGGACTCTGCACCCCCGGCCTCCCCGCGCCCTGCCCGGTCCCCCTCCCCTCCCGGGTGGACGGGGCACTCGCGCCGCCTGGCCCCGGCTGCGCTGGGCACTGGGCACGTGCAGGGCGGAGGGATGGGGGCACCCCCACCCCACCCCCGGCTGCAGCGGGGACCACCCGGGCCTCGTGCAAACTGCAAGCAGGACCGAGCCGGGTGCGTGGCCCTCCACCCACCCCCGGGGGGGACGCGTGGGGGAGAGGCCGGTTTCTCTCTCCGGGCGGGGGCGCTGCTGGGGGCTCCCCCCCTCACCCCCGTCGGAGGGCAGAGGAGAGAGACGGGCTGTTCATTTACTAAGCACCTACTGTGCGCTGGGACGCTGCTGCGCCCACGGTCTTGGTTGTCCCCTGGACGGCGGGCGAGGTGGGCCCTGTGGGTAGCCGCGGAGAGGTCCCCAGAGAAGCGGTGGGGACGCCCCCGCACCCCCCAATAAGGACTCGGCAGTCACCCCCCCCCCCACTTCTCTGGGCCTCTCAGTTTCCTCATCTGTCAAATGAGGTTAATAACAGAAGCTACCTCGAAGCATTGTGAGGATTCAAGGGTTCACGCGGGAGCGAGTGGCGAGGGCCGTGCCCGGCACAGAGTAGATGTTCAATAAATGCCGGCCTTTGATACGCCCTGCATCCTTGTTGTTATTGGCAGACCCCGCCGGGGCCCTCCCCGTTGGCCCTGCGCCCCCGAGAGCGACTTCCTCCTCTCATCCTGTAGTCCTGCAGTCACCCTCCCCCCCCCCCACCCAAATCCCTCACCCAGCAGATAATGGTGATAGGAAAAGCAGATATGCTTTTCGGTTGGCTGGTTGTTTCTGGACCACACCTGGCGATGCTCAGGGCTGACTCCTGGCTCTGCACTCAGGAATCACTCCTGACAGTGCTCAGAGGGACCGTCACACAGGATGTCAGGGATCGAACCCGAGTCGGCTATGTGCACAGTAAAGGCCCTCCCCTCTGTACTATCACCCCAGCCCTCGTGCTATCCGCTAAGTCCAGGGGTTCATGGAGGACAAGGTCAGGCGCCCATAGTTCCCCCTGCTTCGGCCCAGGGGCAGAGCACACTGGCTGTCCCTGGAGGTCCCTGCACCCACCAGGGAGTGGAACCCACAGAGCCCAGCCCCTTGGCCAGTCCCGTGAAGGCCAAGCATTCGGTGGCCTTCGTCCCCGCTCATGAACCGGGGTCTTCCGCGGAGTGTGTCTCTCCCTCGGCTCCCACCCATCCCCCCACCCCAACCTCTGTCCTCTTGACGCGGTCTCCCGGCCGTGCCCAGTTCCCTGCCACATCTGCCCTGCTGCCTGCCTTCACCGTCACCTTGAGGGGCACCAGGGGAAAGAAATGTGAGAACGTCCCCTTTCCTGGGCGTTGCCTTCCTCTCCCGAGTCACATGACCAGAGGCTCGGGGTCACACTCGGGGTCATGCGCTAGGGCGGAGGAATAGCAGGCACAGAGCATCAGCACCAGGGACTTGGCCTCAGCGACCACGACGGTGTCAGCGGCCGAGCACAGCACACTCCCCACGCGCGACCCTGACTGCCCACTGCTGACCCACGCATGTGTGGGCCCTGCCCGGTGGTGCTCAAGGGCTCCCCCTGCTACAGTGCTCCGAGGTCACTCTGGGTGGTGCCAGGAGTCCATGCAGTTGCGAGCATCAAACCCAGGGCTGGTGCGTGCCCACCAGTCTGGGCTCTGGTCCTTGGCGTCATCTCCCTGCTGTCTACCTCCGCCTTCCTTCCAAGCACATCTGCTCATGGACCCTAGTGGATGGGATCGGGATACAGTGCTCACGGGAAGAGAAACAGTGCGGAAGGGCCACGGGCAGGCCCAGACACCCAATGTCTGCACAAAACCGGCACAACTCGGATTCTGGGCAGCTTCTGGCGAGGTAGGGAGAGGAGAAAAGTGATCTCCTCTCAAAAGGGGGAGAGGCTAGGCGGGACAGAGGCTTGGGTCCCAGTGAACAGTGAGCCTCTGGGCTATAAGTGTGTGTGTGTGTGTGTGTGTGTGTGTGTGTGTGTGTGCGAGCGCGCGCACGTACGCATGCGTGCTTGCATGTGTGTTGTGTGGACTTCTGTGCCTGTGGCTCTGGGCAGGCCCCCGGGCAGTGGGAAACGAACAGCAAAAGCACTCGGGTCGAGAAGGACCCTTCCACCCCGTGACGCAGTCAGCGCGGAGGGCGGGCTGCTGTCAGGAAGGGCAGCCGAGCGCCCGCAGCCGTCAGCCAGCCGTCAGCGCGGCCCACCCCCGGGGTCACGAATCAGCGGCTCCACTTACCTCCTGCCAGCCAGCACGCGCGGGCCAGCTCTGTCACTGACCGCTGAGCCTTTGGAAAAATGTAGCCCTGTCAGCCCGCGCTCCGAGGCAGGCGCGGGGAACTCACGCTCCAGTGCCCGCGTGTAGTGGCCCGAGCACGCCCCCTCACACACACATACACACACACACACCCCTGCCCGCGCCCCCTCGGACCAGCTGCCCCGGCCTGGCACGTGCACGGCACACGTGACCACGGGACCAGCTTAGCCCGTGGCTCAGCCGCCGTGGCCACGCAGGCTACACGGGTGAGCGCGTGTTTGACACTGGTACCAGCTCAGTGTCCACTGAGACTGTTCCCTGCCGAAATCTATTTTCCCATCCGGGCATAGCGTCCAGCCCATCCTTGGGTGCTCGTGTGCCCCCCGGAGACGCCCCACAGATGTGGGCATGTGACTGCGTAGAGACATCTGCGTCTGCAAGCACGAGATGGCACAGTCAGCTTGGGGACAGACGGTGGCAAGTTGAGACCACATGTGTGATCACTTACGTGCATCGTCACACAGGCACATGTGACAAGCGCCCGGATCCACACCCAGTGAGAGCCACACCGTGACACAGACACCCCCCCCCCAGGGGCCTGCTCACGCAACTCGGGCACCAGCCACCCTGTGGGGATGCTAACAGTCCCTCACCATGACCACGCGAGCTTAACTCCCCCAGAAACGCGTACACAGCCACACACTTCCAGAACCGCCTTCTACCCAGCCGGGCCCACCCCCGTGAGTGCACACCTACCACTCCCACCCCCGGGTGCCGCCTGCCCCCGCCCCAGATGGTCAGGTGTGCCGGGGACGGCGAGAACGGGGCCCGCATGCAGAAATCGCCACTCACGCAGAATTGCATCTGCCGCAAAGTTCTCATCTGCTGTGCAAATGATGATTAAATGTTATTGTGCGAGAGAAAACGGCAAGGAGGGACTCATTAGCTTTATTGTCAGGCAGGACTCCGTGGACTCCAGCTCCCAACTCCGAGTCTGGCTTAACCCCCTGTGTACTAGGGCGGCCCGAGAAGGGAGACTCAGATCTCGCCAGCCCACCGGCAAGAGCACTGTGGAGAGAGTCAGGAGTCCGAGTGACTGCCCTGCCTTGTCCCGCCTCTCCTGTGCAGCTTGGTCTGTTGTCTCACACCTCCAGTGATCTCTCGGCCCTCCGTGTCTCTGAGACGCAGAGTCAGAGGCCACGGGCGCTGGCTCCCACGGGCCTTCTCAGACGGAGGGTCAGGCCAGGCCCGCAGGACGACTTAGGAGCTGCTTGGGGCTTGTCTGGGCGGCACAGAGCCCAGGTCAGATGAAGGACGCGTGTGAAGGGGCCTCTAAACCCTCCCAAAGAGAGTGTAGGCTGTTCCCTGAGCATAAAGGATGGCGCTGACGGGTAAAGTCCTGGGGAGTCCTGTTCCGTTTGGAGCCCAGATAAATCACGAATGCCTGTTTGAGCAGCATGAGAGCCTGAACAGGGCACACACCACATATATATCTTGTATTGGAGGGCTGGAGCGATAGCACAGCGGGGAGGGCGTTTGCCTTGCACGCAGCTGACTTGGGTTCGATTCCCAGCATCTCATATGATGGTCCCCTGAGCACCGCCAGGAGTAATTCCTGAGTGCAGAGCCAGGAGGAACCCCTGTGCATCGCCGGGTGAAACCAAAAATAAATTAAATAAATAAAAATGAAACAGGTATTTGTTGGGGCAGGAGCTATAGTTCAGCGGGAAGAGCGTTTGCCTTGCACAAGGCTGATCAGGTTTGATTCCCGGCATCCCATACGATAGCACAGCGGGTAGGGCGTTCGCCTTACACGCGGCCAACATGGCCGACCCGAGTTCGATTCCTCCGCCCCTCTCGGAGAGCCCGGCAAGCTACCGAGAGTATTGGATATGCCAGACACAGTAACAACAAAGTCTCCAATGGAGACGTTACTGGGCCCGCTCGAGCAAATCGACGATCAACGGGAGGGCCTTTACCTTTACCTTTACCTTACCCATATGAACACCGAGGCCTACTAGGAGTAATCCCTGAGCACAGAGCCAGGAGCTAGCCCTGTACTGCTAGGTGTGCCCCCCATCCCCATCTACACACACACACACACACACACACACACACACACACACACGCACATATGACACGTATTTGTTATTTGTCTGAAATATACATTAAATGGGCTGGAGCGATAGCACAGCAGTAGGGCGTTTGCCTTGCGCGCAGCTGGCCCTGCCGAGCTGGGTTCAATTCCTCCGCCCCTCTCAGAGAGCCCGGCAAGCTACCGAGAGTATCTCGCCCTCACGGCAAAGCCTGGCAAGCTCCCTGTGATGTATTCGATATACCAAACATAGTAACAACAAAGTCTCACAATGGAAACAGTTACCAAACATAGTAAAAACAAAGTCTCACTATGGAAACAGTTACTGGGCCCGCTCAAGCAAATCGATGAACAATGGGAGGACAGTCCTACAGTGCATACATTAAATAGTGGATTCTATATTTTTGTTGACTGAATCTGGCATTTCAGAAAGGGGACTCTGGCCACGCTGTGGAGGGCACATCAGAGGTGAGAGGAGAGAGAGGGAGACGAGTGCAGGGATGGGGCTGTCGCAGAGAGCAGATGCATCCGTTCCAAGAAT